TATAGTTTCAGGTATCCACTGGAGATCTTGAAATGCATCCTCTGTGGATAAAAAGAGACTACTATAGATTTTGGCTACTCTTGTCTTCCTCCCACGSCCCCAACAGACACACAAACACACATACACTATGTGAGATTAGAGATATGTTAATCTGCTTCACTATAGTAACCATTTTACTATCTATATCCTATAACATCATGTTGTAAATCCTAATATATATGATAAAGTTACTCCAGTCAGAATGGCAATCATCAAGAATACAGGCAATAATAAATGKTGGTGAGGATGTGGGGAAAAAGGTACACTCATACATTGCTTGTGAGACTGCAAATTGGTATAACCACTATGGAAAGCAGAATGGAGATTCCTCAGAAAACTTGGAATGGAACCACCATTTGACTCAGCTATCTCACTCCTCTAGTTTAGACCCAAAGAACTTAAAATCAGCACACTACAGTGATGCAGCAAGGTCAATGTTTATAGCAGCTTGATTCACACTAGCTAAACTATGGAACCAACCTAGGTGTCTTTTAATAGGTGAATGGATAAAGAAAATGTGGTATATATGTTCAATGGAATATTATTTAGCCTTAAAGAAGAATGAAATTATGGCATTTGCCAGTAAGTGGATGGAGTTGGAGTATATCATGCTAAGCGAAATAAGCCAATCCCAAAGATCCAAAGGCTGAATGTTTTTTCTAATATGCTAGTTCACAATAARAGGGGTGGGGCACTGRAGAAGACTTGAGGTACCTTAGAGGGAAGTAAAGRGARGGGAGGGGAAGGGAGGGGAAGTGGGGATTGGAAGGATAGTAGAATGAAACAGWCAATATTACTTTATGTATATATGTGACTGCATGACCAATGTGAGTCTACAGCTGCACACTCGGAAAAATGAGAAATTATATCCCATCTAASTATTATATATCAAAGTGCMTAAATTCATTCTACTGTMATGTATGACTAATTAAAACAAAATATTAAAAAAGATGTTATAGTTAGCAGGTTACTGCTTAAGGACATTTTTATATTATGGAAAATTTCAAAGATGCTCAATAAGAGAGAGCCGTGAACCTGATACCCAGCTACAACAATGATCAACTCACATTCTTAATTCATTTATACCCCCTCTCATTTCACACCTGTCCTGTCTCTACAGGATTATTTTAAAGCAAATATCAGACATTGCATTTTTTAATATATCCTCTATATAACATAATAAGCAGATCACAAGGAAATATGCTTTATATGATTTTAYCTTGGTAAACTGTATGTATATAGGAAAAAGTCGGATAGAATAGTGATCTCTGAATGATAATATTATGAATGATTATTGATATCTTCATTTACTTGTGTATATTTCCCACAGTRGACCTGTGAGAAAAGGTGATGGGGGTGGAGGAAGATGCTGACACTCCGGCTCCATTTCTCTTGTAAATTTGATTATTTTAATTCAGGCTGGGTACTTCACATTGTGAAACAGAAATAACCACTCAGCAGAGGATCCTTTCTGTCAGCCTGTTTTCTCCTTGGAGAGTCTGTAATTAAAATGAGCCACATTAGCTAGGTATGGTGGGGCATATCTGTTATACCAGCAAACTTGGAAGGCAGGAGGATCTCAAGTTCAAAGCCAGCCTCAGCAACTTATCAAGGTCCTAAGCAATTTTGAAAGATCCTGTCTTGAAATAAAAAAATAAAATGATTGGGAATGTGGCTCAATGGTTAAGCACCTCTGGGTTTAATCCCTGGTAACAACAACAACAACAAAATTAGTCACATTAGCATCTAACRTTACAGCATGGTTTTTCAAACTTCAGCTCTATTGACATTTTTAGTTCGATGATTCTGTACTGTGGAAAGCTACCTGTCTCGTGGGAGAACGTTTAGTGTCTACCTCTTAAGTGTTGGTGTCTATCTCTTAAGTGCCAGTAATGCCTTCCCCCTCCCTCACTTGCTGTAATAACCAAAAATGTCTTCAGATATTGCCAAACGTCCCAAGGGAGGCAAAATTATCCCTGGCTGGGAACCATTGCTCTACAGCATGTGTGCAAGTTGCAATGCATGGTRTCTAAAAGATTGCAGTAAAAAGTTCTGTTTCACTGGTTTTGCAGGCTGAAACCTTAAGGGGGATGTAATTTGTGCTCTGATGAAAGCTGTTATTGTGGTTAACTGACCCACACATTTAATTAACCAACCTATGACACAGCAGTTAATGATCATTTGCGTTTTTTGAAACATATCCAGACATGACCAAGATAAGTTCAACTCTGTGAGAAAAGCAGAGGTCATGAATGAAAGATGGCTTGTCAGCTATGGCGGAGATCAGTTAGATTTGCCTTTCCAGCTTACCAACAGACCCATTTCATTATTCATTATTATCCAAGACACAGGGACATATTGTGTGGAAGTTAAAAATGGGAGATTTCTTTCTAGAAAATGAATGATGCTACATACAAACAGAATTTTTTGATTACTAATAAACACATATACATAGTCGCAAAAGATAAGGGAAAAAGGTATTTAAATATTGCATTTAAGGTTTTTTTCCATAATGGAAACATTTTATTGGAGAACCATAGAAATGAGACAGGGAAAATATGAGCTCATCTTGCTCATTCTTTCCAAGAGCTGCACTGTTTTGTATGCATCATTGCCTCCCCACCCTGTTCTCCCCCACACCCCAGTCTAGAGTCTTATCAAATACCCCCATTTTAATGATTTGAAATATTCCTCATGTTTCTCTTATGGAGGGAAACCCAACAATGAATGGAGGTTAAACGTTAGTAGTATCATGATCTTAAAAAAAAAGATTATTTCTTTAGTACTATTATTGATTGCATAGAAAATAAAACTTCTAGCAAAGTCTACATCAGACATTGCTGATCCAAGTTTATAAAGCATTGTACAAATTGTGTCTTAAATAGTATTATGCAATTATAGAACTTAATAGAGTATATTTGTGGTTTATTGAGTCTTAAAGGTTGTTTTCTTGAAATTGTTAGAGACTCCTAATTCCAAAGAAAACTGTGTAAGCTACTTGTAAATCTAWACTTTATTTACTGACTTTAAACTATGCTTTCTTTTTGTTTTTCATGACAACATTTGGGATTTTCTTTAATAATAACTAATTTTTTTTAAAGAGAGAGAGAGAGAAAGAGAGAATTTTTTAATATTTATTTTTTAGTTATCGGTGGGCACAACATCTTTGTTTGTATGTGGTGCTGAGGATCGAACCCGGGCCGCACGCATGCCAGGCGAGCGCGCTACCGCTTGAGCCACATCCCCAGCCCAATAATAATAACTAATTTTTAAAATTACTATTGAGTATTTTTTGTGGGCTGGGTATCATGTAGGTACTAAGCATATAATAGTTTTGCAATATTTATAATCCTACCATATATGTAGGTTTATTTATCCACAGGGAAACTGAGGCTCAGYGAGGTTAAGTACTTTATCTACAAGCTTCACATTGCTGAATGGCAGGGTCCTGATTCAAATACAATTCAAGTAACTAGTCACAAGATGTAAGACTGTTTCTTATAGATTGTGTGCAGAAAATGTACTTGTTTGAATCCATTAAAACACRGCCTGTTTGCAACTTTCCTGGGGACTGTATCTAAAAAAAAAAAAGGGTTAATCACAATGAAAGAAAGGTTCAGGAGCCTAAGGATGTGGAGTGGTCAGAGAATGGACTAGTTTGGGTCAAGAAACCATGTTAGATGTAGAGAAAGAGTGTAAGTGCTTTGTTTGGTGACAAAGAATAAATTAGGTCTTTCTTAAGCCAGAAAGGAAAGAGAATTTTAGGGAGGAGAGCTCCCTATGGAAAATTCCCAAAATTCAAAYGGGGAGGGGGCTAGGACTCAGTACTTGGTCTCTGTTGTCCATGCATAGGCTTAAGGGAAAGAGAAGAGAGGTCAGCAGGGGCAACCTCACATAATAGCATGAAAAATGCAAGCATAAAGCCTCAGGGTGGGGGAGGACCTGGCTATAGTTTAAAAAAAAMCAAACCAAAAACGACCCAAACCTAAACCTAATTCAAACCCACTTCAAACTGAAGGTGGGAAAGAATTCTACAGGCAACTGAAAATGGAACATGCAACACTGGACTGCAGACTGTGAGCGTTCAGTCTGATTAATTAAGGTCAAGGTGATGATGGCAATACCAGCTGGGGAGTATTTTGCCCAAAGATAAATTTGTCCCTCTGTATCTCTGCAAGACAGCAGGGAGGTGTGTGTTTGGAGCTAAATTAATTTGATTTACATCATGCCATGGTAACTTCTGTTCTCTCTCCCTGCTGTCAGATGTCTTAGCTGGCTTTTCCCTCTCCTTCTTCACCCCCACACATTTCATAACACACAGAGAAAGCACGGATTGGCTTCAGGCAGAATTTAGAAATGGAATAACTAATTTGATTATTCTGCAATGAGTGCTATTCTCTCTCCTCCTCTTCCCCACCCCCACCCCCCACGCCCTTCTCAAGGGAGAGAAGTTGTAAACCCGAGCATAAGTATGATTTATTTTTATATCTCACTTAATGGCACAAACTGCTCGACAATCAGAGCTTGTTCCTTGTAGCAAAACCTGGCTGCTCACCTATCCGCCTCCCGTTTGTCTTCTAATAGTACCAGTACCAGAAAATGAAGTTATGGCCGAGGATTCTATTAGAAATGAGCTTTTCCTGGCCTTGTGTCTTTCACCTCGGCCCGGCTCTGGAGGTCAGGGCGGAGGTCACTTCTTGAGGGTCCCCTGGTTAGTCCAAGCCGCTTGCAACCCGGGGACCGCGCCTCGCCCCTTCCACCGGCCGGTTGCGCCCSGCTGGGCTGGGCAGGATAAGGTTACGCCGGGGCTTCCACGGTCGGAAGGGAGGGAGGCGGGTCCGAGCCCGTGCCCCGGCCCGAGGGGGAGTTTCCAGAGTTGGCAGCTMGGGCCTGCGGGGCCATCCCTGCTGGGCCAGGAGCTGCCTGCGGGACCCTGAGTGCAGTCCCGGCCCACCCCCGCCATGGTCCGGGAGAGGCCTCCCGGGAGGAGCTGCGGCGCCCTGCACCGGTGCCTGCTGGGCGCCGCGCTGCTGCTGGGCCTGCGACTCTGCGTCGAGCTGAGACGCGCCGGGTCGGGACCCGCAGTCCACAGCGTCCCGCGAGGCCACGTCCCCCGACCACCCGGGCCRCACCTGCCACCAGCGCCGGTCCCGCCGCGCGGTGCAAGCAAGAGACAGGTGACCTACGTGCGCAGCGGGCGCAGAGCACCGCCGGGGGGCGGCGGGAGCGGGACGCCGGAGCCGAGCTGCTGCGCCCTTCGCGGGCGGCCCCRCCAGAAGGTCAGTGGCAAACTCAGCAGTCTTGGGCCTTGGACCAGAATCCCCCACCCAGGCCCTGCTAAGGAGTTCTCCGCCCTGGGCATGGCAGCCCGCCCTACGGGGACCTCAGAGTCTTCTTTTCTGTGCTCACTCAGGCGACTTCACTGTAGCATCCTTCAGTGCCCCGATGGAATGACGTGGAACTGAGTTCAGTCCATATTCAAACCGTGTTTGCTGAACCTAGAGGATGTGTRCCAGGCCCCTTTCTAGGCTCCAGGCATCCAGCAATGAAGGACGAAGCCCTGCTTACTTTAGTGAGCGAAGGCTTTGAGTGATAGGCAGGAAAGGGAAAGGAAGCAGTTGTGGTTACCAATAAGGGCTTGCCTGTTTTCCCCATGGAGGTCGGGATAGCTGGGTGGGTATCCACAGTGAGTGGCTTGTCTCCCACCTTCATCGCAGCGATGAAGTTCCACCTTCCTGACGAATTTCCCTGGAATCCCACCCCAGGTATTGATAGGGTGGCTGGACAGTGGTAAGAAGTCAAGCCCCCAGCGCCACTTAATGGCAAATTAATTGGATCTTCGAGGACAGAAGTAATAACTTGGGTTTGTCTTACAACTCTGTACTCTGTTACTCTTCTTACTCATTCATCTCTCACAGCACACCTCATTGAGTCGTCCAGTTTTAATCTCTGATTAAGCCTCTGGCCTCCCAGCCTTCTTCATAGAACTCAAGAGTGGAAAGGTTAAGAACTGCAGGTGTCAGCCTGCCTTGTTCTTGGGCACATCACTCCCAATCCCAACACCAATTGTATCCTCTGAAGCAAACTCTCTCTCCTGCCTGGTGTTTCCTCTGTTCTAAGTATCACAAACCCCACACCCCACTCAAACCATGCTCTCCCATTGGCTCTGCTGCTTTCTCCAGCTGCCCATTTCTACCCCACTTTCCAATACCCTCCACCATTTATTTATTTATTTATTTATTTATTTATTTATTTATTTATTCATTCATTCATTCATTCATTCTTTCTTTTCTTTTTTTTGGGTATCAATTGGCATCTTTAATATTCAAGAAAATTAAGTCTATCATATATATTAAAATATAGGAAATTTTATGCAGACATGAAGCTTCTAATTCAGCCTTTGTGGCAACTTTTTGAAGGATAACTTCCTTTTAGGCCTTGTCCTCTGTCTTCCCCCACCATTGCTGTTCCTTTCCAGGCCATCCATGTTATCTTCCTGGATAAACCCAGTTGTTGTTGTTGTTTTTTCTTCCTCTTCTTTTTTTCTATCTCTGAAACAGTACATCTTATACAAAGTCTTAATTAGCTGTTTCATAAGAGAGCAGCCACTTCTTTCTCATGCTCCCCAGGTATTTTCCATGTCACTGTGTTATGCATTCAACACACTTGCCAGGAGCTTGCCAGGCACCCAATGCTGGGGGCACAAGATGAGCTCAAAGTTTAGAGGGGGAGACATTTAGTAGAGACATCTAGTGCTGTGAATAGTCTGCTAATTCAAATTTAGGCCTGGAAATTAAAGAAGGAAGAGTCAGGAGGGCAAACAGAGGAGGGGACGTTTGAGCCAGGACTTGACATTTCTTAAGAGTTTGGCTTCTTTTGTTCCTCTGTAGGTATCCTCAAATGTCGTATCCTTGATATCCTTTACTGCTCCCTATCCCTTTTCTTTCAGATTCACTGTCAACATCTGTTGTTTCTGCTGTCACCTGTCCAAGAATTACTTTTAAGACTTTGTCTCTATTTCAGATCATTGGAGCCTGTCTACAAATGGCAAGGTTTGGAATGCATAAACTCAGAGTCACAAGGGGCAAGTTCACATCCATTCCCTTTAGTGGGATGCCCCAGTGATCCAGGCTGGAGATAGGAGTGGCTTAGGCAGGGCCATAGATGTGGAGGTGGTGAGCAGTGGTTTGATACTGGATCCATGTAGAAGATACATGGAGGAGCAGTTAGCTTCTGTTTGTTTTGCTTTGGTCGATAGACAGAAAGGAGAAGCTTGGTTTCAGGAATGTTAGGTTTGGGATATCCTTTAGACATTCAAGTGAACATATCAAATAGGCAGTTGGACATATGAATCTGGGATTGAAGGAAAGGTCCAGGCTGAAGTAGTGATTTGGGAGTCATTCATGTTCAGGTGGCATTCAAACCATGAGACTGAATGAGATCAACTAGGGAGGGAATGTGGCTAATAAGGACAAAAGACCCAAGTCTGAACCCTGGGACTYAATTTTATTAAAAATTAGATTAGAAAGAAAATAAAAAGGAAATATTTAGCATAGTGCCTAATGTGTCCAAGCACTCAACAATGGTAGCTTTAATTTTCACAAATCTGTCTCAGCTCTATAGCCTCAGCCATTCTTCAAATGTAATTTGTTAAAACCTATTTCTGTTCCGACTCATGCTGACTCCTTTTCCTGCAAGGTCCCCATCCTCCTTTCTTCCATCCTCCTGCCCTTTCCATCCTTGACTGCTCAGGTCAAGGCTTATGGCCTGGAAACCTTCCCATACCAATCCTATTTCCAAGCTGATCTTGCCCCAGTTTGGGATGACAACAGCTATACCTTCTGTGAGCTGTGAGTTGTTTTGTGCATGTTGAGACCTGATAATTCATTTCAAATGGAATGTTTTGTCTCCAAGTTGTTCTCAATGGGAAGGATCGCATTTCCCATAGTGACCTCTAGCAAGTAYTCCAGAGATTGAAGCATAAAAATATAATCATCTTACTATTAGCTGATCATAGGTATGTCTTTGGTTATATTTTTTATATATTATATAAGAAAGAAGCAAATGGACTTAGTATTATTGTAAAAATATTAGGTTCTCAGCCTCTTAAGGAAAAAGTTTTGCTGCATTTCCTTCTCTCTAAACATTTATTTATTTTCAGATATATATCTAACTTCCCCAAGTTCCTAGAGAGCTAGGATCTTGAATTTGTTTCATTTTCCCATTATATCACAGTTGAATTAAAATATTCCTCAAAACTGGAAAAACCAGTTACTAATCTGYCTTCCCACTTCTGAGAACCACACTTAATATTCTGTCTCTCTGGGGACAAATCTTGTTCCTTTTGAGCCTCACATCAAGACATGGTGTAATATAAGCTGAATGCACCATTAAATAATTGAAATAACATTTGGCAGTTATTTGTTAGGCTCTTGGGATTTTATTTTATTTAAATTTTGCTTGTTGGGAATATTGATCAACAATGTTATGAAGTTCTTGGTTACTTTGCCCCAGGCACCTACCAGACTGGTAAAGGAGAGCAAGTTCCATTCTATTTTGAGGACAGTTTTTTGGGTGGATGAAAACCTGCATGAAATAATTGGGTTGCCGGCGTTTCTTGTCACCATGCTTCCTTCGCAGGTGTTAGAGGCACAAAAATTCAGCAATTATATTGCCACTTTAATCATAGCTTATGCTACTCTTAAATAAAACATTCTGTTATAAAAAAGAAAAGTGTAGTCCTCATAAAATTTCTTCCCTCTTCTTGCATCCCCCTTTTTTCATCAAGCTGCATAGAAACTAGCTGTTATTAAGTCCTCTTGTACACCAGGAGTTGTAATCTTAGAACTTTATGAAATGAGGACAAATGAGAAATGATGGATAAATAAATACTRCCCTTTTTGATTGTGACTACCCTGGAAGCTATATATTCTTGTATGTTACAGATTTCTTTAAGCATTCCATCAGAGCTCTTAATCTCTAAATTTTGCATACTGAATATTCATAAAAATATCACTGTGATTGTTTTTCTTTCCCTTCTCTCTTTTTTCCATCTCTGTGTATTATTATTATTATTATTATTATTATTATTATTAAACACATTTACTATAGTTCCCAAAGGTGAAGTTCTTGGGGGGGTGAATTTATAGAGGACTCAATATGGTCTCTGTGATTTACGCTTCTTCATGTAGCTCTTGGGTGCATGCTGTATCTCTTAGAGCCTGGAACTCCATCTAAAAGACAGCAGCTTTTAAAATAGAGGGTTCATATGCACAGGAGAGACACTTGCTCAGGGGCCAAACTTCCTAAAGAAATGTCTTCTCTCTTATCAGAGACACGTAATTTGACATTTAATATGTTGRCTAGGAGAGTGACTTCTGAGTCACTGAGCTGCAAAATCCAGCAATGTGCTGGCTTGGTTTGTGAGTTATAGCTCCTTTGGAACAATGTGTCAGGGTGGGGGTGTGTGGTGGGGAGAGAGCTGTTTCCTCTTCTTCTGAAAACCCATATGGCAAAATTTGGTCTTTCTCATTTCTTGTCATCCTCCTCTTAGTTTTCTAATTCTGTGATTGTCAGCAAGAAGAATGAGTAAAAGTGGTATAGCATGCCCCCCTGATATATCCAACTGCATCGAGAGTCCTTGTTCTTTAAAAAATACTTGGAGGTAAGTTTGAATTTCTTGTGAAATATGGCTCAGCAGTAGTTTAGAGCCCCTCAGGTTTGTACATGTACCTACACTTCTGTCCTTCAGGAAGTAGCATGAATCAGTCCTCTCACACTGTCCTCAGGAGGCAAAGTATTTTCATTTTAAACAAAGTCATTGAGGGTAATTGAATGAGCTCCAGCAATATGTGGGTGTGAAATAGCAGTTGCTTAGTTTCATAAAGAAAAGCAGGTTTTTATTACAACTTTGATGTGCCTGAAACAGGGAATAGGGTTCTGCACTCTTTCCATACCCTGCAGTTAGTTCTCAGAGGGCACTCTGTGGGTAAAGGAACTGCTAATGGAGGCTGTATTGTTTTTCAACAACCGCTGGTGGAGATTTTAGGTTTTTGTGTGTAATTTGTCCAGTCCATTTTCTCTGAGGGAAAGAATGCCTTGTCAGTACTCTCAAATGGAATTAGATTTCCTATTTAGTCTGTGAAGAGAATCAGGGTCTCAGAGTTAAACTGGTCACTGTCAAGGCTGGTAGACGTTTGAGATTTTCCATCTGTGCAATGATACCTTTGGAGTTCTTGTGTTCATAAGGAGTTTGGCTCTTTGTTCTATGATTCATGGA